CATTAAAATATTATATGCAAAAAAGATAAATTTTCTTTCGATAATTTACACTTTACGCATAATTGTAAGCGAGAAACTCGCGGATACGGTTCTATAATAAACTTTAATCCTGTAACCAAGCATAAAGGAAATAAAAGGCGCTTTTTCTCTTGTATGCTCACTTGTAATAGAAGCGTCATATACTAGTTTATCTTCCTCTTATCAAAGCGTTTATTTTTTACATCGTTTACACGCTCACGTCTTATAATGGGCATAATCGCAAATGAAAAGACATAAAAATTGAACTTTGACCACCATAATAGAATAAGTAAAAAACATAAAAATCACATCAATTCGCGATATATGTCGGCTAAAGTGCCTGTCTTCGTTGAAATGTTTGCATTACATAACAGGCGTAATTGCGCGAGCGGATCGTCTAGAAGTGATTTTGCAGCGTAACAAATAAAGCAATAAAGCAGAAAGGAAGATCTCTCTTCCTCATATTGTTATAGCATCATCGTTTTTTTAACAAAAAAAATTGAACAATTTCTATTAAAGAATCAATCGAGAAGTTCATAAAAAAAATAACAGATAGCATAAAATAAAAATCAAGAATTAAACGTAACTTCGATATATAAAACATTTACGTACATGAGTTTTTGTGCTAAAAAAATATCGGATACCCTTTAAACTTATTTCTTGATAATATATATTGCATCATTGAGCAACAGAAAATTCTTTTTAAGGTCTTCTGTTTAAAATTTAAGCGGAAATAAATTATTAATTCTAATAATAATAAAAATTTATTATTTTTAGATATATGTTTTATGCAAAAAAGTCTCCATTTCGAATTTTTTAATAATATGCACAAAAGAAATCACGTGAAACTTTTTATGTGCAATTATGTACGTAATTCAGCTTTTATCGATTCTGTCCAAACCTAATGGACTAGAATAGAATTCGCAGCTGTAATTACACTTGAGAGAGCTATAAAGCAGATTGCAACCGAAAGATCTCTTATTAATTTTATATATATTACATGAAATATATAAAATTAAAAAGATATATATATATATATATACATACATATATATATATATATATATGTATATGTATAATACATTAATATTCTTTAATACATAATTAATATTAATATACATTATTATTTTTATATATAAATTAATAAATGATTATATATTTATACATGTAGTATATCCTAATGTACATATTATAGAAATAATTCTCGAGAATTCTTTTATTATTGACAGCAATTCTTGATAACTGTAATACTTAAACTTACGAAATTACATTTTGTTATTACAGAATACTTTATGTTACAAAATTCGCTAATTTCATCAGACTTTCTTAAAGTCATTTAACCATTGAAGCAATATAATAATAATAATAATAATGATAAAATTTTTATCAAGACGTTTAACGTCACTGGAATTACGATGGATAACCAGCGTTGCGTGGGCGTTACGGCAAGTGCACGACATTCGTATAGTCGGTTACGACATCGGTATTTCAAGTTCGCGAAAACAGACGATTGTTTGACCTTTCCGAAGCTGACAATGAAAGTTTTAGAACTACCTCGGAGAAATCCGAGACTCGAGACAAAGCAAGGAGAGAAAATCGCATCCATTACTTATTAACGGTATAAATATCTATGTTAACAATTAATAGTCTTCAGAATTACAATGATCAACAAAGAAGAAAAACGGTATTCAATCGACGCAAAAAATTAATTCCCGTGTTCCAAAATTATTATTTAAAAAAATATCTATGCTTTGTCGTATCATTAGGAAGAAAAGCAGAGAGAAATGTGAGGTTTTTGATCAAGTCTGGCGAAGTTCATGAAAACGGCGCTTAAGATTAATATCAAATTAAAATGTAAATTAAATTCATCCTTTTATTCCCAAATTATTTAATAGTAACAAAAATATTTATATTTTTTGTAATATTTATAATATTTGTATTTTTCCGTGACAAATAAGCAATTCATAATATTACTGTAACATTTTGAAATTTTAAGACTTTTCTATTATTTTTATTGCAACTATGTATATAATGATTTCATTATTATAAATAAATATTTTTAAATAAATCTACTTAAAATATTTAAAAAAAAATTATAATTCTGCAAGCTCTTACTGTGTATTAAATGAAATAATATATCACAAAATGAATTAATCTGATATCCAGTAAAAACCGAAAGCAATCAGAGACTTGTGTACATATTCTAGTTATATTTATGAAGACACATGATTTCTGTAAATTCGTCATCAATTTTCATAAAGATCGATGTCGAGTAAAATTTTATCACGTGATTATTATGCAATAGTCTACAATGTCAACAAATGCTATCGCATTATCATGATTATCCTGATCACGGCATTGTCACATGCAATTACGATCACGAAAAGAAAACTTTGAACAGATTCTTCAGCGCTAATCGCGCATTGATATATGTATATGTATAATCGGCTCTAATTGATAAATAAATATTTCTAACAATAAGCGCTGGACGGACCCGCACTTGTGACAAATTCACGTGCGTTCAGGGGATTATTTGTGATTTCGCTATTACAAGAAAAGATTTCGCAGTGGCGGCGAAGTCGCGGCAATGCAATGGTGTCACGGGTAAAGTCACAGCTAATGCCAGACTTTCTATACAGACGATGACCAAGACCGAAAGGCGGGACGTGCTTCGCGTAAAATTGCGCCGGCGATTCTTTCCAAATTCACTCCTCCGAGTGCTACTTTGCGCCTCGATGCGCACGTGACCGCTTATCTTTCGTCAATCATTCCTTTCGCATCTAATTTTTTTTTAAACAGCCGCAATCACGTGTTCGTGAGAAATAAATCTAAATAATATAATTGCGAAACATACACGCATGTTCTCTCGTGTATATACTTTACAATCAGTGCATGTATAATTATACGTATATAAAAAATATATACGTATACCTATATGTAACATATATATATATAAAATTTTTTTTCATTTTTTAATTTAATTCAGTATTTATTCAATTTCTTAATTTTTTTAAGTTTTTTTGTTTAATGTTGTGCTTTGTAATTTTTTTATTGTTTTTGTTTTTAATCGTAACTTTGTTTTGTATAACAAATGTTTATTCTATAAACTTTGATCCATCAATCAACATAAAAACAACATAATAAAAATGTAGATAACATGCATAATTAACATTGTAAAAAAATAATCAGACCTTAATTATAATTTCTTGGTCGCGTACAATTATATCTGAAAATATATAATTTTCAGATATAATTGTACGCGACCAAGAAATTATAATTAATGACTGATTAATTTTTTATAATGTTAATTATACAATCAAATGATACAATCAAAGACACAAGGTCTGTCCAAGATCAAATGACTTATGTTTATTTATAAAAAGGAGAAAAGCTGGATCGCAAAATTTTGCGTGATATTTTTTTATGCATGTTATTAACAGTGACCTTATAAATACAATATGTCTCTAACATAAAATAAATATTTAAATTGATAAATTTAATTATAAAATTTATTAAATATTTATTTAATATTATTCGTTTTCATGTAAATTTCGAAGAAGGAATTTTGAAGAGAAACATTGCTGTTCGCTGTCTGAATGTTAAAGAGTCTATTAAGAAATAATCTTAAAAGATATTTCATCACGAAAAATAATTGGCTCATTCATGTGTTATCATACAGATAATTTAGCGTTGAACCGTGAAACCAGTTATATTTCGAGTTTCATCCGGTTCTACATCACCTCCACCCAAATAAGTCAATGAAATATTTTTATTTTGAGAGTATACTCGACGTCGTTCATTCTTAGTCAAAAGCTGTGTCTAATGAATTTTTTTACAACGTAATATTTGCACACATATGGAAGAGATATATAATCAAAAAATAATTTCAAATTTCGAATTTCTTATAACACATGCGGAACTGCGAAAACCGCAAAAATTCAAATCTTCGTATAAGGATCGGCGCGTTCAATTAGGAAATGCCTAAACCGGAACTGAAATTAATGGCGAATGTATAATTGCATAGTTACGAGTGATGTATGAGCTGTTTCGACTTGGCGTGTACTGTACCTTCATATACGAGTTTCAGTTTCAACATTCGTCGTATTTTGCAATCTGTGTGGCTGGTACAAGCATAACAAGCAAAGCGAGTTATTTGAAAAGGGTGACTGCAAAACGTGTACATAACGAAATACACGTTTCTCCATCTGAGACATCTCGATTTTTGCTGTTCTAACTCTCGTTCTTGTCGTCGTCGTCGTCGTCGTCGTCGTCGTTTCGCGCAACAAACTCTCTGTCTCGGTCATGTGATGAAAGTGTATCTAATACCAAAGAAAAAAAAAACATCCACGGAAGCGTTGCGTAAAGCGCGACGGAACCGGGGGCACGTTCTCCACTCGGCAAAAAAAGAAAAAAAAGAGCCTAAACGCTCGCGACCGCGCGGCCTCGTATATACAACGCAACTCGAAATGTAGCACACCTGCGAATGAAGCACGCGGAGTCTCGGCGATTCCGCCGAAGCGTCGTTCGTCGAGCAAGCGGCTTCTCGCACGCGGATCCGTCTTTCCGCGTGTGAGAAAAGTTTTCGTCAAGGCCCGCCATATATACGTGGATACCGTGGATTATATATATGTTGCAACGTCCAAGCACGATTTCATTTAGCTCGCCCGCGACCATATTGCTCCAAAAGTTGGCCATTCGCCTTCGCGGGTGGCCCCGTACGAAACGGTTTCGCGTGCGAACGAAAACAAAGAAATTTTCGTATACGCTTGGTATATATATAGGTAATGCGGTATCCGCGCTCGGCCGCAAAAAAAATGCGGCCGCGCGCGCGCCAAGGGAGACTTCCCGCGGGAACGATGCGGCTCTCGCGCGCGTCATAGGGAAGAGACTTGAAATCGGACGGGAACGCACGCGTTTCGTCCATGGAGCAGCGCGAGGAGTGGCTGTAATCGAAAAACGGGGAAACCCCGGCAAACACGTACCTGGTAGACTCGACGTTCGGCATGTCCCCGTAGTTCATCCCGTTCGACGTCGGCGTGTTGTGTAGTCTCTGCGAGTGCACGCGCACCTGACTGTCACTTGTGAGGTGAGAGAGAGGAAAATCCTCCGTGGTCCGGCGTGCAGTGTGCCGCCGAGAGCTCCCAGAGAGATGACAGGCCGCCAATAGCCGGGGGGGGGGAAGAGTAGGAGAGAGAGACGAACCGTCCGACTTGCGTGTGTCCTCGCGCGAGGAAAGAAACGCTGTGCGGCAAATTTGCGTTGTGCGAGACGAGTGAGTGCGAGATCCCGATTTGCAATTCGCTTTTGACGATCAATGCCGCACGAGGCTGGACGAGCGTCGAAGCGCGTTTATACGGAGCATCGCCGATCGGAACTGGCAGGAACTGCAACGCGTAGCGGCGCGTACCTCTCGCCCCTCCCAACTTTTTCTCTCTCACTCTCTCTCGCTCCGTTTCATCAGCCAGCCGCGCGCCAAGTCCGACGAACTCTTCCGTCCGCGTTCCTTATCACGCCACGCGTGTATTCACGCGTTAATGAAACGGACGATGCACACGGAACTTACGCCGCTCCCGGCTCAGCTCACGAGACGGATCACGCAGCCAGGCGGTGACAACGGCGAGGAGCGCGCGCGGGTACCGCACACCACCACCACACCACCGCACCACGCCACGCGACCAGCTGGCCGTATCTCCCACCAGCGCTCTCGTGTCAGACCACAATCCGCGAGCGTGATTGGCTGCCGCGGACCACGCGAGCTCCTCGTTTCCTCTCCGTCGGCATCGACGTCTTCTTCTCCCCTTTTTCCGCGTACACGCCGTACGGCGTACAGCTCGATTCATGTCGTATACTATATCACTTATCAGTAACCGTCGACAAACGAGCTCGCACTGGACCGACAGAACGATACCGTGTAATTGATATATTGATATTATTCGTCGCGCTAACTGTTATCGACACGAACCGGCGTCGACGATTAAAAGAGGGCTAAGACGAAGTATAAGCGGTATCGCTGCCGCGCGCGGTCCTGACATTCATACATTCAACAATTAAATCGCCTCGTATTTACTATTTATGCATATCTCATAAAAGATGATGAAAATTTAATTCTTTTAGTGCACAAAATTGAATTCCTTCCATTGCCCGAAAATCCATGTGTGCATTTCATGAAAAATTCTCTCTCTTTTCAGGTGTAACGAAAAGCTGGGAGTGTTTATATTTTTTACTCGTTTTTATTTTCTTTCCACGTTTCTTAAATTGTTCTTCCAACAATGAAACAATGACTGCTAAATTAGCAAACATTTGATATTAGATTCAACCATGGCTACTATATTTTAATTTTTGATATTAGATCCATCTGGTATTATAACTATTGAGCCATTTGATGAAATATTATTAATATAAATGTGTCTCCTTATATATATAAGAAAATATTCCAGCAATATTGTAACATTTGAGCTGCATTGTAGGAACATTGCATTCTGTGTATTATATACGAATAAATTGGTTGAATCACTAATATTCTCTAACTATAGCGAGATTCGTGCTTTGCAACACGCTATCGAACGCGTCTACGTTTTATCACGGAGTACGAAAGTGTTGCCATATTAGAACACTTTAGCAATATTGCAGCAATGAGCAACGTTCCTGCAATACAGCTGAAAAATTCTAATATCATTGGAATGTTGTTTGCTGAACAAGTTACGTACGATATATGTATTATAGTAAGCCGCTTACCGAATCGATCGTAGGCGACACTTATAATTAGCCGCAGTAATTTTAGAGACGAATCTGGCATTGATTGATTTAACGGTGCGACACAACACATTGTATTTTTATTGATCCCTTTCTAAAACAGGTATTCCGCTATTGCGTATTTCATATCTGCGCTGCTCAGCATGATGTTTGCGAGAATTTTATTTTATTTTAAAGCTTCAATTAATAAAATTAAATTTTTTTTATTTCGAAGTTTCTGATAAACAATAATCACGCAAATATCTATGGATACGAATTAAAAGGTTGAATTTTACGCAGTATCTGTAATATCAGCATAATAAGCAAAAAGATAAAATTAATTGCACGGTAAAAAAATCAACTGAGCTGTATAAATTAGTGAATCGATCGATATGTCTACACGTGCACGTATAATTATGGCTCTATAAGAGAGGGAACTTCACTCGTTACCAACTTTAATCGTTTATAACGCATGATACTATCGTGACTTTGATATTTACGTGTTAAGACTTTTGACTCTGATTAACCTTCGGAATACGCAGTTAAAATTATTGATTTTTTCTACGCAACAGACCATGAACATATTTCTGTTACAAAATAATAGGAAATTACGCTTTTAAATGTTTTGATAAATATCTAAAATCTTATGCTAAAGTTAAAAATATATGTTTATTAGATACAAATTTTATATAATCAAAATAGCAAATTTTGATAGATTATTTTATTAGGCGTATATTATGGAACATATTTACATTATTAATATTATTTTGATATTGGAAAAATTTACAATAAATTTCGTACAAATAGGCTAGCGTAAAATTAGTATTATAAATAAAATATACATAAAAAAGATTTAAAAAAATACATTTAATAAGTTCATAAAGATTTTAATCATCAATTATCTTAATTCTTTGGAAATTTTTTAAAATTAATGTGCGTTAATAATACCTAGGAACGATAAAATTTATCATATATTTTAAAAATCCTCAATTTTAATTCTCGCTAAATTTAATCACGATTAAACGTATCCTTTCGCTCGTACAATTAAAATAATGAAAATTTGACCTTGCTGTCGAGAGATCTGCTGAGAGGTCGGCTGTTGCGTCTGCGTTTCATATAATCAACACTGCTGAATCCTTTAAAATAATAGTTATTTATTATAGTTATTATATAGTTATTATATAGTTATTATATAGTTAGAATAGTTAGATTAATAGTTATTAATTAGGTGTAGTTAATTTCTTCCTCTTTATCGCGATTTACGCAGTAAAATTGCTTTTTTGCATTATCTTTTTGTCACGTCGTATCTTTGTGTCTTCGTATCTTCGTTTCACGTTGGAAAGGAGTGATCATTTAATTTCCACTTCCGAAGATCGTGATCACTACGTTGAAAGGTCGATTTAGTTGCGCCGGATAGGAATATTACGCGTCTTTTGCAGGATTTTTTTTTTTTTCACTACCATTGGAAGTTTCCGCGTTCGACATTTCCGCACAACATAATAACGAGCTGCTCAACTAATTTCACTCGAAGGACGCCCTGTACATCAAGGTTGCAACCTTCAATACTTGATAGACACAAAAGATCTTTTCTCAGAGCCTCATTGTTTACTCTTTTTGTCTCAGAAAGTTTACTCTTTTTGTATCAGAAAGAAATATTGATATATCAATATTTAATCTCTAATTCTTCCTTTTCCTTTTTCCCTTTGACGCAAGAAAATTTGTAAGGCGCATTTCTTGTCATCGTAATAAATACGGCTATCGACAAAATAATACGATTCAAGTCAATGAGTTTTATTTAAAATCCAATTTGCATGTAAATCAGTGAGGGCTTTGCGATATCGCAAAAACACTACGTAAACATGCAAAACACAATGATAATAGTTAAGTAAACCATCTAAAATGTATCATCTCTCATTAATAATTGATTTCACTCAATATATCAGCCATAGTACAATACAAAGTTAAATGCGGCAAAAGTACATACATACGCATTGCAAGTCGCATGCAAGTACGCATTACATGCTATCGCTGACGTCCGTTGTTTATTTGTACTTTACTTTTTCTAATAATTTTGTTCTAATTCTTTTTCCTTCCCCGAATCCTTAGATATGTGTCTATTCCTTTTGAATGCAGAAGTGACATAATGCAGCCAAAAATACTGTAACAAACTGCCGTTGAGAACACGTTCGTATGCGTAGGTGCAGCCACTTGGCATCTGTTACCAGCGTATCACATCATGTACGATGTATATGCAACGTTCTAAATTGCAATAACGCCATGAGCGCTGGAAAAGCACTGATTTTAGTACATTATATAGTCCTTACAGTGCAGAACACAAAATCTATTGTTTTTATTCCACAAACGATATTCCGAAAGGTATCAATACATATTTCTAATTCTTCATTGATAATTTTCCACTGTAAGCAAAATCATAGCAATACACTTGCAAGTTGGCAGAAAATTCTATCCGAATTTTGTATCAAAGCTGGCGTTATTTATGTCCTCGTTAAACTGATGTTTTTTATTTGCAAAACTTACTATTCATAAATTACAAGTAAATATTAGAATCAAAATCCAAAATGCAAAATTTGCTGGCAAAATTTGCTGGCATTTGCAAAAAAAAATAATTTAGTAACAAACAAACGGCAGAAAATCATGCAAAGGTATGCATGGCACAATACGATGGTAAATTGGCGACAAGAAATAAAATTTGCTCGATATATTATATCACATGTCTTTTTAAATAGCTTTATTTAAATATACATGCAAAAAATTTCTCAAAACAATATTCTCTATATATATGTTTGAAAAAGAAATGTACGTGAATTTAAAAATTATATTGATATTAATTGAATATATATCTGTTAGGGAATATCATCAGTATATATATATGTATATATATATATGGTTCTCACAATCGTAATTTTTAGAATAATATATGATTAGAATACCCTCATATGGTTGCTTTAATCGAAAGATATTGTCTTTTTAACATAGTTTATAGAACAAATAGTATGACTGAGAAATCTATAAAATATTAATTGCACGGTACAGCACTGAGAATTCAGTTCCATTGCAGCAGTATTGCTTGTACCATTGTCTATACTTGCAAAGAACAAAATAAAATATCAAAATATGTCACAATAGATTTGTATTATTGTGGATAAGATTTTTAAACTCTCTGTTTTATGCATTTGCAATTTCTTTATATATGTATTATGTAATATCAAACATGTTCAAAGTCATTATTTTTAAAGAAAATAAGTACAAAAAATATTTCTTTAATGTATCTATGGATATATGCATGTATCTATTTATGTTAATAGAAAAAAGTTTATCATTTATTATTTTGTGATATTTTCTTTTCGACCGACTTTGACCAGTTAATGTCTATTGCTTTCTTTTGCCATTAATCACTTTTGCCATTAATCACTATTACCGAGTTACCGAATAATTTGAGATATTCGTCCTTGTCTTAGCTCGCTGTTAAGCAAATAAGTGACAAAAAAGCAACAGATCAACTATGATAATCGGTTGACAAATGCACTTTTCTAGATGGAATTGTTTTATCAATATTTAACACACTAAATTCACTTTCAAATTCTCATAGATGTCTTACCAATGCTAAGAAAATAATTCTATCGTAATAAATATGGTTTCTGTATAACAGATAAAGATTGTAAGTGCCATTAACTTAAGATAAGATAACATGTATACAACTATAGTTGCAGAAACAATTCCTAGAGATAATCATTACGGCTGTAACTTATACAGGGTAGTCCACTTAAATCAAATCTTGAATATATATCTCACTTATTTTTGATGATACAAAAAAATATTTTAGATAAAAATTGAATGGCTTCGAGGGAGGCATATTTTGATCATATATAATTTTTTCTAGACGGAAATGCCAAAAAAATATGAAGATTATTTTCAGTTTTTTAAATGGAATTATATGATTATTTTAACATAATATGATTTCTCTAATTATTATTCTACATCTAAAGTTAAAATTGTTAAAAGGTAGAATTATCGAATAAAATCAATAGTTTACGAAATATTTCATATTTTATGTTGAAATATGGTAAGTCGATAAAGTATAAAATATCTCGTTCAAACAATTGAAGTTTTAATAGCTTTATCTTTTACTTTAATATGCACGAATAATTAAAGAAATCATTTTATCTAAAAAAAAATCATATATTCCATTAAAAAAAATGGAAGTAACTTTTATATTTTTTGACGTCTCCATTTAAAAAAAAAACGATATGACCGAGATATGTTCCTCTCGAAACCGTTCAACTTTCATTCATCGATTGTGAAACATTTTTTCGTATTATCAAAGATAAGTGAAATATTCGAGGTATCCGATTTAAGTAGACCACCTTGTATATTTATATAGTAGCTATTCTCACTCTCAGATTGAGACAAACATATAATTAAGTCATGTCCAGAGTACTACATGTGAGTTCTACAATCATTTTACAAATAGGCAAAAAATAACATTATTCTATTATGCTTCTATTGTACTAGCAATTCTACTTTTTTTTCAATATTTTCTGCAATTTCATTCTCAAACTTGAAATCTTGATAAATATTGTAAAAATGCCTTCTTCTGAATAAAAGTTGACCGCCACATATATGCATTTTCAAAAGAATATATTATTCAGCTATCCACATATACTAGAATTATTACATAGTAATTCAAGAAGCTAATTGACATTTGACATATTTAAATCAATCTGTATTCGTACCTAAGTCCAAGACCAGAGTGTTTATTACACATTAACATTATCAGCGAATAATATCGAAAAAATTCTAATAAAGATATATTAATAAAACATGATGATGATAAAAATTATACAATATTTAACACAATTTCTCAGCAGATAATAAAAATTGAATAAATCTTGTATTTCGTAACTATATTTAACCTTTTCATGTTTCTCAAATTTTTTCTTAGAAGAGAAATAATTAGTTGAATTGTTTTTAAAGATTTTTTAATGCGAATACAATATCAAAATATAAACGTTCAAACTAATGAATCTAATATTGATGCAAAAACTAAAATATTGTCAAAATCTAAAAAAGAATTTTTGAAATCGTTTAATGTTAAAATATAAAAGATTTAATATAGCGGATTCAATATGCAAAAAATAAATATTTTTAAATTAATAAATAAATTTTGCGTAAAAAAACAAAACATATATTAATAAAAATTATATGTCCGGTAGAGTCTAAAAATTTTTATATTAGAATTATGCTTTTTAGTCTATAGAAATCTTTTTTTTTATTAATATTGTTTCACATTAATATTGTTTCATATTAATAAAAAGTTTGTTAAGATTAAAAAGTATAGATTTTTGTGAAAGAAAACAAGAAATGATGCGTAAGTATGACAGTCATACGTTCTTTATTGTAAAAATTCGTCCTTTAGATTTATTTTTTCCGAACTCAATTTTGTTCTTTATTTCAACAATGTGAGAAATAAATTAATGTATTTAAATAAATATAATTTATTTTTTGTCTTTTATTAACTATATGTTGTTTAAAATTATGTCCTGTATTAAAATTATTCAGATTAGATCCGTTTCATTTTTGGTTATTTCAGTTTTAAATCAAAGGTCAATACATATTCAAACCTGTAATTTCAAACTATTAGAAAACTGCGCAGTATCTACCTCAGTTTAGTATATTGCGTAAGAAAATTTCGTAATGCGCAGACTAACAGTCACTGGTTTGGAAACATGCAGGAGCAAAGCCTTAAAATTTTAAGAAATTTTATCCTTTATTATTTCTAAAAAAATATATAATTATCGTATAAGAGAATGGATCATAGAAAAATGGATATAAAAAATTTTATAACGGGAAATAATTAACTTTTGCGGGGATCGTAATAGCGCTGCAAAATGACGCATAAACATTGAATTATTGAATCATCTATATACTTCGTCGAAGGTGCGAATTTGTATTGGTCAACAATAATTTATTTGCAGTAAGCAAATAAATATCACATACACATATAATAATGCCAACTTAAATAATAATCAATATGTAATCAATAGAAGCTTTATACAAGTTTATTAATCAGTCTTAAAATATATAATTTAATAAAATATATCGCCATATAATATCATTAGGATACTGATAACTTCTTTGGACCCTCAAAGGGTGGATCGACTAGTGATGCTTGCGAGCCATTTTAAAATTTTCTTAGAGCTGTGGTGTAATAAAATAACGTTGTCGTAAAGTAGCATTTTACGCTGAATTTTGATTTTGTTACATTTCTGAAGGGTGTTTATTTTGGACGTGATACTATATTATTTAATATAATTAAAAAAAAAATAGAAATACATTTTGTTCGATTATTTACTTATTAAAGTTAAATATATTTTTAATTTACAGTTGATGAATCCTCCGCGCGTGAGGGTTAAGAAGACAGCATTATAATAAAAATGTCAACGTGGATATTGAATAACAAATTATATCCATTCTCAAATACAAAATATAACATGATATAACGGACTATGATATAAGCTTGACACGATTTACACAATTTATAAAATATGTTGCTTCATTTAAGTACTGTAAACTTATTATTATATGTACAACTATAAAATGTACGTCTCAATATGTACAATTTATATTCTTCTGCGTGTCTCTGGTCAACTCTTGATCAATAATTCAATTCCCTTTGTATTTGATCCAGTGACTTGCCTTTGGTTTCCGGGACTAAGAAGTAAACGAACAAAATGCCGACGGCGCAGAATAAGGAAAATATCCAGAAAGTACCGTAGGGCTGCACGGCGGCGGTCATGTCCGAGTAAAATTTGGTGACTATAAAAGCCATAAGCCAGTTGAATAGGCAGGCGCTACTCCCGGCGATGCCCTTCACCTCCGGCGCGAAGATCTCCGGCATCATCATCCACGGGATCGGTCCGAAGCCGAAGGAAAACAATACGAGAAAGACGCAGAGCGGGATAATTGCGAACCACTTGATGTCATCGAAGGCGGTGGTGTGCACGCTACAGTAGAAGTAAACTCCAAGGATCAGAGTCATCAGGAACAGCACCACGATCGACGCCAGCAGCAGGATCCTCCTGCCTAGCCTGTCGACGACGAGAGTCCCGAGGAAAACCGATATCACTTGCACCGCTCCCACGATGATCGTGGCTTTGTTCGCCTCGATGGAGGTTCCGGCTTTCGCGAAGATGTCCGACGAATAAAAGATGATGGCGTTCACGCCGCTCATCTGTTGGAAGAGCATCAAACCATAAGCGATTACAAAGCCCTTCTTGGCGGCCTTGGTTTTAATCGATTCTGTGAACGACGCGCCGCTGCGTCTGTTCTCCTCGATCACCTCGCGTAGCGCTCGCAACTCGACCTCGACATCGTACTGATTGCCACGAAGTTTGACCAAACTCTTCCTGGCGGCGTCCTCGTTGTTCTTCTGCAAGTAGTACACCGGTGTCTCCGGCATGAAGAAGAACACCGCGAAGAAAATCAGCGGCATGACCGCCGAGATAATCGACAGTGTCTTCATATTTTCGATAACGGCGCCAAGGACGTACGAGGCCAGGATACCTACTGTCAGCATCAGTTGGAAGTAGGAGCCGAGCGTGCCGCGAATCTCGCTCTCGGCTATCTCTGCCGTATACAGGGGAGCAGCCACGCAGAAGGCTCCACCACTGAGGCCGGTAATGAATCTACCAAAGTAGAACATGAGCAGTGAGTTCGAGAAGATAATAAGTAGCCAACCAACGGTGAAGGGGACCACCATGATTAACATGGCAATCTTTCGCCCAACTAAGTCCGCTATCATGCCGATGGGAATGCACATCGCGCCCGCTCCAAGAGTAGCGAGTGATCCTATCCAGGAGAAGTCGGCTTTGGTGACCGATATGTCATAATCTCTTTTTAGATTTATACCATCTTCACCGGCGGGCGATGTCCAGCCGAGCACCATACCAGCAGCGAGCGCGCCGAGTGTCGCTGCTATGCCTGCCAGGTATTGCGGAAGTTTCTTAGCCTGGCCGAGCTGGCCATTGGTGGTGGAGACCAAAGTCTGTTGCGAGATACCAATCTTCTCGGTGGACATGGCTTGACCACTCGCTGACAAAAGTGGCGTGCTTTCGTCGGTCTGGAAAAGAAAATATTAATCATAATTAAAATAAGCTTAATATTCGACCATTAAATTATAATTTTTCATTAAATCTATAACATTAAAGCTACCATTAGTAATAGATCAGAAGTCAAAAGCGGGTTATAAGCAAGTCGTAGTGGTAACAGTATAAAACAATATAATAATATAATATTATATAATGTAATATTAATAATAATAATAAGTCAGTAAATGCGTAGAGATAACCAAATTCCATTTCTTATCATACTATTTAAAACTTAGATTGACTGATTTCTGATGTCTGAGCTATTACTAACAGCTTATTGTAGAAAACTGATCATATCTCTTGTCAAATATATATAGCTTTAATAATTTTGAATGTAAGACAATTTTTAAAAACAATATTTTTCATGTACATCTTGAAAGACTGCTACTTTTTATATAAAGATATAATCCACACACAGTAATACAAATCTAAAATCACTTATATAGAAGATTCTCTAATCAATATAGTTTTTATGAGAATGACATTCCTTTATTTACAAAAGACCTAACAGAGAGTCATTTTAACACAGCTACCTTACATAAATCTTTCTTTGTTAACATTTGTCTTATAATTACAATGATATATTATTTCTATCTTCTCTTTATGCTTCGAAAATAAAATCATGATATGAATTAATGAAGGAGAAAATAAAAATCTAAATTATATTACATCGTTTCATCGTATTGTCAATATCTTGACAAGAACGTCCTCAGCACGAATATATATTTAAAATTGAGACATAAGACGTCTTTAAGACGGTTATCCCGATTTTAAACATGCGTGCCATTTGAATACGTTCAGAAGACGACAGAAGACAAAGAACGCATGAAAAGTATGAATACGAAATATGTATATTACAATGTTATTACATACGGTCGAGCATGCTGCTGCCGTATTTTCGACATCCCACGTGAATTCCGTCGTCATTTTGATAGCCTTTAATCTACTCTAATTTAATATGCACAAAGAAATGTAGCAGTCACATATCAGTTTCACATTCCAGCTCGTGTGACAGTTTCTCGCGATACAGTTTACATACAAATAATGTGCGACGTATGTAAGATTAATTAATAATTCTGCTGAACAAGACGCAGTCGCGCAGTGCGGAGAACCGGTTCGTTCATTTGCACCTTATGCACTCGGCTCTCTCGCTCTTTTTTTTTCGACGGTCGAATATATATCTGTCGCGTTTTAATTGCAGAAAGTGCTGGGGGATGTCAAAAGGTCATGACAACATTCGGAATAGCACTTGACATCTACCGGTGAAAGTAAAAATTAATTGTGCACTACATCGGACGTGCAGAAAATACCGACTGTGATATTAACAATAATTAATTGCACATTAACAATAATCCGCAAAAAAATCGGGCTACTGTAACATTATTTTACTTCTAAATCTGGTTACTGTAATATTACCATATCTATTAATATTTTTATTGTTATAATAATATATAATTTAACATATTATCCATCCACGCAGTATATCGGCTTATAAAGCATTTTTCAGATTAGATTAGATTAATTCAATTGAGCTTACCTACGATATATTACCTACTACGTCTATGAACATTACTACTGTTTTTTACCATGGTTTTTTATGGATGAGTATATTTATATACATTTTCAATTTCTTACAAAAAATTGTATTCGTCACATTAAAAAGCAAGATTAGGGAGCGATGATACCTTATAGTTATACAAACAAAAATTGCATTCGTTGTTTTTGAGTGTACATACGCCATGAACCAGGCTGTTTTTTTTTCTTTATATCATCATATTTTTTATTTATGAAAAATCTAATACAGAGTGTTCATGCATATAGTAACGATTTCAAAAGTATAGCAACGATAATTTGAGTAAAAGAAATTATATAGATTATTAAAGAAATTATAAATTATACTCGTATATTTGTTTTATGCTAGCTACAACTTACACTTGATTAAAAAATTAAAACTTTTTGTAAAATTTTTTTAAGTTAAAATTAAACTCAATCGAATTAAATATAATCTAATTTGAGAAATGCCAATTAAGAGCCGACACTGAATGGATATAATGTGTTAAATTATATATTATTACAACAATAAAAACATTAATAAATCAGTAGACATTTCGACCCTTGTTTTGGATAATCCTCTTTAGTATAACAAATTAATAAGTTAAAATAATAAATATTGTTTAAATTCCCTATAAAATTATGGAGAGTCAAAAAGAAGTAATGCGTTATCAAATCGTCATCAAAAGTGAAACATAAAATGTTGTCCAAAGATAAAATAATTAATCATTTCTGGTAGGATTACATGTACTTTTCCAGGCGGAAATGATTTATCTATAGACGTCGAATCAACGTCTATAGACTAATCATTTTTGCTTGGGTTAAATACGGAAGTCAATAGTTAATCTGAAACATTTAAATTATTCACTAATAAAAGAACTGGCTCAAATTAATATACAAAAAAATTAATAAAAATGACTTACAATAAATTATGTCGAGATATTTTTCGCAGAAAAAATGTTACACGCACGAGAGGCGATGTGTACTGTTCAAGATTAGGAGAACTTGTGAGAAACGGTCAAACAAAAGTTTATTCCTAATACGTACTAGTAAATAAATAAATGTACATCGAAGCATCAAGACTTATAAAAAATAATAATATAGGGCAGAATAAAAGATCCATATCGTTCATAAATTTAGACCCTGCTTCTGTTTGTGCAGAAGATAGATTATTTCAGAAATTAATTGCTTACTTAAAAATCTCTCTTTATTTAAAATTGACGTTTATTATGCAAGATGTGACGTTATCCTAATCGAAGTCATGATCAAAATTTTCTTTATGTTCAGTAATAACCGAATGCTGGTGTTTCTATAAATACGATTTTTATGTCCTTTAATTCTCGTTTCTAATAATTTATAATACCAGTCTGGTCCGCGTATGAGGCATCACAGATCTTGTAAATAATATCTGAATTCGAAAAAGTGAGCAGTTCATTTTTTTGTGCTCTAATGAATTTATTAAGTTTATTTAATCCAATATTTAATTGGTATATATACCATATACGTATAAAAGAGTTACTATCCTGAACAACTTTTTAACGCCGTCAGAGATTGAAGGTGCGTACATATCGGACCATTATTGTCTATAAAATTAATGTTGATACTATTAAGTTGTTTAAACTTTACGTATAGTTTTTTTAAATATTTGTAAAGATTAAATCTAGAGGATAACCGTTGTTGAGTAAGGTATTTATTATCAATTCCAAATTCTTCTGGCAAAACATAGGAGAGGGAAAGAACTTTATTGATTAATCCGAAAATTGTAGTGTCTAGTTTTTCAGACATATTGAGTGCCAGGAAATAAGTTTAAGTTTCGTGCGGAAAAGGTGGATGTGATGATATCAATTATGTATTAAAATATTGTCTTTCTTAATTATAATGTGACATCTAAGAAATTTAGATTGTATCCTCTCAATTCCACTGTAAACTTTAGTTTAGGATGGTGTGCATTAAATGTATCTAATATATCAATATATTGTTTCTGTGTTGAAAGAATAATGTCATTTACATCTATAATAAAATACATAATTGGTATATATTGGTATGTTTTATGCAAATATTTAATTGCAATCATACAATTGAATACACTATATAAAGCATTGTCTCCTATGTTTGCATTATTTTTATGTGTTCATGCTAAACGCTGTACGCTACTTTATATTCATCTACTCTTATCTTCGACGGAAAAACGTTCTAGATTACATGTATAATACGCAAATATAAGCATTTTTATTGGTGAACTTGAAATTTGCGCTTACCAGAAAGTCAGAGTCAAAGATCAATAATTAGCATATAGAAATTCGATAATTTAGATCTAATTGTAAATACAATATAAAATAGCTTATAACATAGTGTTAAATTATTATTCTGAAAAATGATAATTCTTATTTTTTTAAAAAAGCAACAATCAATTTCAAATTTTTAATTCCATTTATTTAAGAATGTTATATTGTTTAACACACCCACGCGCGCGCGCCCGTGCGTGTGTGCATACAGTGTATTAAAAAAATACTTGAAATACAAAAAAAACTATGTATAAAATCTGCACTTATATAATGTATCTATTTGTGTGTAATTAATAAAATTATTACATATAGCATAAAATATTACAAATTTATTATACATATTTTATATACCTACGTATGTGTATAAAAGATGATGTATAATATGCCATGTATGTGTATACATATATTTTTTTTACACTTATAATACGTAATCATAAAAATTATTTGTAAAAGAATATACATATATCAAGCAATCTCATGAATCTAAAAATCTTTCCGCGTTATAATATGTCCACAAATCATATCACTGTGACTTTCCTACTTTGATAACTCAGTTTCATATTGAAGATTAATTATCGCGATCTATACAATACAAGTAGTGCTGTTAATATATAAATGTTATCTCACGAAAATAGAATTGATCATCGCGCTCAATGTTATACAAAAGTTAGTAAATAATTCCAACCTTTGCCCATACAGCACACATTATCCGAGGAACGTCCAGAGAATGTCCTTTGCGTTCTAAGAACATCTTCAGGATGTACAGAATGTATATATATATATATATATATGTGTACGTAATTTTATATACAATCGATATTTTTTATATGATATATGAGCTATTTTTTTTCCCAAATTTTACTTTTTATTTTAAAAAATGCGAAAGTTGCGCTTTTAACTATTTTTCAATTTTACTTAATTCTTATTATTTTTTTAAAATATACATACATGCAGTATATATGCAAACAGGAATTATACAAAAGAAAGAAAATATAAAACGTATTTTGTATATAATTATGCATATATAATTTTATTTGAAAATTTTTTAATTAGTTTCAGCATTTTTTTTATCTTTACATTACCTATGGTTGTCTTACTGTGTGTAACAGTCTCTAGTAATAAAAGAAGACGTTTTCATACATCAATTATTGAATAGTATTATATGTAAGATTTTGCGATAATGCATAGAGAGAAAAATGAATAGAAAAGAAATGTCAAAAATAATAAACAGCAGTGACGCAGAAAAATTTTCTAGATAAAAGTTTAAACGTCAGCTAATAAATATTTCAAAATGCAAAGTTGGTTCGTTTCGTGAATGACATTCGAAATTACGAATCTCTCTTTTAGATGAAATTGACATTAAATGTACACAGCGGTGTAAAAAAAAGTCAATATATATTTTCTACATTTTATTTCGGCTTTCAACGAAGCATTAATCGTTTCGTTATTGCGCCATATATCAATGACGACACGTCGCCTATAGAACGATGAGAAAAATGTCAGAGAACTCGTCCGATTACGCGGAAGTTGCCGTGATGAAAAAAAATTAATATCTGCAAACATGTGACGTTTCAGATACTGGTGAACGATAACGAAACAAAATATAATTTTGCTCCGGTACTCCGATGATAACAAACGGTGGATTACGTAAACCGTATGAGTAATGCAAAAAACATGATGTTTTCGGTACTACATGCCAATTAATTGCACGGTGTATTACATAGTATGTACATACGCGATTTACGTGCAAATATACAAAATTCATTTTTTCATTCAAAAACTCAACAAAATACTCTATTCATATAAGAATGGAATGGAATAAAATTTGAATTAAAGACGCGTAACGCGACGCATCATTTTCTGACATTATCGACGAAGGTGTTATTTTCGATAACCTGCTGTGCAATGCAATATTAATAATAATATAAAGATTTATTATGGTTTTATCTTGTAAAACAGTTATTTCTCTCCACATATAGTCCACATGTCATTTTGTGTTATCTAGGATCGTGAACCTTCACCTTTTGCACGAGTGTAACACGATTAATTTTTATTGAATCCCGAGTAATTTCTCTTTTATGACGCCGTGCAGGATTTTGCTTGCGGCGCGATGGTGATTTCGCAGGCCATTAATAGTTCAAATATCATCGGATAATACAAATTGGCACTTTACATATAATTGAAACGCGAAGTCAAAGTAAATAACTTAGTTCACACTCATATTTCCACGAAATTTCTTGTGTTTACTAACTCGAAAATGAGTGGAATTTTTTCATAGTTAGTGATTACTTTATCATGATGATCGCGCTATGTCAATATT